TCCTCTTTTACCAAAGAGGATTAAGGGCACGAGACTTTTTGCCGAAATTTCGACAGAGTCTCCCCTGTAAATTGAACATTTCCCCAAAATTTCCACATGCATAAAATACATTTTTATAACCCAACCGGCAGCATGCATAAGATAACAACATGCAATTAAGCTAAATGGCCTCCGGCCTTCTGATAATCCAAAGCAAACTACCAATCATGCAATCAACATAAAATAACTTCCCCAAACATCCAACACGCGAGGTTTTAACCTCTTATCACTATCACAAATAGTTTGGGGCCTCAGCCTAACTGTGCAACAATCCGACAAGGATTTCAAACCTAACTAAATCTAATCCGCTCACTTAGTCCACCGATCAATTCAACCAAGTTCCCGGACCAACAACGAGGTCCGAACAAATCTCGATATACGAGGCTAAAGTTTAGCCCGCGGCTGCACCTAGTAACTTCAGGCTGTCTACATATCCTTACTGAAGGATCAAGCCACACGTAGTTCTTTTGTATCAATTTTGGCTCCTAATATCAAATAAATCATTACAGCCATACAAATTTTTTAAATTATTTCTTAAAACGTATTACGGTCTAATTATGTAATAACCTCAAAAATAATACTTGGTTTTATTATTTTTGTGAAAAATCTTATTAAGTTGTGTGACTTTATTGGGTGTTTTATGAATTTGGTTTGATGTGAAAATATTGGAATTAAGTGAGTTTAATCTCAAATTTGGACTAAAATGCCCCTATGATTAAGTTTATGATTTTTTTTTCAATGAAATAGGCCCGTTTAGGCCCGGCCCGGCCTGATGGGCTTTCTCAAGCCCAACTCATGGGTAGGGCTTGGGCTTTGATTTTTTTAAAAAACCCGGCTCGGCCCGGCCCATTGACGAGTCCTAAGTTGAACCATGCCCAAAGGTCCAATGCAAGGCAAATATTTTGAATTAAGTTTTTTTATTTTATTTTATACAAACAATATTCTACTTTAATATAATTGAGTTTACTAGAGCGGATTCGAACTTGGGTGCATAGTGGATAGCACATTCGCCTAACCAACTTGACTAAGCTCATATATGCGTTTTGAATTAAGTTCTAATTGACTAATTAAAATCCCATTCTTAAACGAAGAAGAAGAGCTTTCTATATCAACTCGGAAACAAAATGTAATAGCCTCTACACTTGTTTTCCAAATAAGAATAATGTATTCCACATTAAGACAAGCTTTATTGTTATTTTCGAGTAGCTTCATGTCCTAAAGTCTAAGTACACCTCACTTATATGTTTGATTTATATAATATTCATTTATAAAAAATATAATTCATAATTGAACGGTGCACATTTGTATTAATTATTTATTATGTAGGTTTGTTGTTGTAGGTATATTTTGTTATCAAAAAAAGTATCATGTAATATAATGATTTATAACAATAATAAAAATAGGACAATCAATTATTTATTAAGGGACACACGTTTCTCCTTGTGTCACAAATACTATGATGTGATACACCTTTTTTTTCCTTTTTTTTTTTGGGGATGATGTGATACACATTTAATGTACCTTGATTGAACGACTAATAAAAATAAAAATAAAAATGGTTGTGTATTTTTTTGAGAGATTCACTATTATACTCAATATAAAAATCCAAATTATAAATAAATAAAATCCTATATAAAATGGACTTTAGAAATACACTCAAAACTCATTTACAACATAACAAAAAGACTTTTATGTTCTTTTAAATTACAAAACTACCATTGATTTCTTAAAACAAACCCAACCCCAAAACCTTCTAAAAAATCTCAAAACACTCAATAGGGAATTTAAGTAATTTAATAACCAAAATTAAATTCAATAGGACAGCTGTCATTTTTTGGATTTTTTTGTTGGTTTGTTTATAGAAATTAAATAGTGTAGGGTTTATCTATATTATTAATGCTAAGAATGGATGTATGACTAAATTATCCATCTCTTTTGGACTACAAAAGTCCAAAAGATTTGTGATCACTCACCGTTGGATTAATATCCAACGATTCACTCACTATTACACTTCTTCTAAGAAACTTTTTTGAATAGTTGGATGTTAATCCAATAGTGAGTGACCACAAATCTCTTGGACCCCTATAGTCCAAGAGATCGAGACTGTATGACTAAATTTAAATATCTCTTCTTCCTTTTTTTGGAGAAAAATAAAAAGAAAGAATGGAGGCAATTTTTTCATAAATAAATTCGATGGTAATTTGGTAATTAATCAGGATCGGACTGGTGGTGGTGACTCATTGAGACTAAAAAGACACTTCACGCCCGCCAATTTTTTGGCAAACCATGGCAAATGACACCTGGTTTATACATTGCCGGGTGGCAGACTGGCAGAAACAGAAGCGCGCATTTTAGCATCCTTTTGGTCAATATCCACTAGCATACGCTCTGATGCGTGGTGCGCGCACTCGGGTTTATGGCTTGCAAATTAAATACAAAACGGGGAAACAATAATAATCCAGTCTTTCAGCTTGCGTACCGACATAGTCACCAGAGAGTGAGAGAGAGAGAGAGAGAGAGTTGGAAGCGAGCGAGCGAGTGACTCAGTGAGCGAAGAAGATGGAGGGTGACCCAACTCGGATAATGCTGGCAGTGAACGAGTCGACGATCAAGGGGTACCCGCACGCCTCCATAAGCAGCAGAAAGGCCTTCGAGTGGACTCTGCAGAAGATCGTCCGCTCCAACACCTCTGGCTTCAAGCTCCTCTTCCTTCATGCCCAAGTCCCTGACGAAGACGGTCCTCTCTCTCCTTCTGTTTTTCTTTTTTTGTTCCCATTCAATACTTATGTTTGTGATATGCTTGATTGCAAAGAAAATGGAGGAAATGGAAGCAAAAAAATTGAAAGGATAGGGAAATCAAAACCGAACCTATAGTTTTCTAATGGAAAATATTAAAAGAATCGCAGATTATGTGTGAGTGAAAAATTGGCTTTGCGATCAGTAAGTTGATGTCATTTGGTTTTGTAAATTGAAATTAGTCGGTGATGATCATGGATTTGATATAATCTTCATCGTAATTAAGAAATCGTTAGTAAGTTTTGGTACCAAACGGGAGGCATTGAGTATGAAGGTGCTTGATAACTTTTTAAGCTTTCTGCCACTTCTTTCAATTTTATAGTCAATTTGCTAGTTCGTTTAAGTGGTGAGTTTTTGTAATTTGAGTTCAATATTGAGTTTGATCGGTTACAAGATCTGACCACTTTTTGTACAATTTCCCTTTGGTTATATGATTGTTTCTCAAAGTTGGCTTGTTATGGCGACTTCATTTTAAATCATGTAGTTTCTTTTCATTCGAAAATGAGTTACGTGACCCAAGTATCATCATCATAACTGTTGTTATTGTGGTCCTCAAGTATCGACCATGATCATATCATAGAGAAATTATGACCCTGAATTGATTTGAGTTCATTGTTATATGAAAAATGTGAATGAATATGCATATAGTCTATTTATATTGTATCTAGTTGAGCTTTTTGTATATTCTTGTGTTTGAGCATGCTTAACACTTCATTTTCCATTGCTCAGAAACTTTCTTATCCTTTTTCCTTCTTATTACGATGTGATCCTGCCACTTGTTTCAACTTTGAACCATTGTTCCTCACCATACTTGTAATAATATGTTGTGCCCTCTTTCGATAATAGGTTTTGATGATATGGATAGTGTCTATGCATCACCTGAGGATTTCAAAAATCTGAGGAATAGAGACCGCGCCAGAGGGCTTCATCTGCTGGAGTTCTTTGTTGAAAGATGTCATGCAATTGGGGTACTGACGTGTGTCTTTTGGGACAGCATTTTTAAATAATCGCATCTGAAACATACAACTGAGTATTCGGAAGTTTAAATCTATATATTGGAATGCTTGTAGGTTGGTTGTGAAGCATGGATCAAAAAAGGGGATCCCAAGGAAGTAATCTGTCATGAGGTGAAGCGTGTGCATCCGGACTTTCTGGTTGTGGGCTGCCGGGGTCTTGGTCCTTTCCAGAGGTATGCTTTTAAGTGCTTGCCTTTTATAGACATATGCCTGATCTCCACCACAGTTATTAGTATTATTACATTGCAGACATCCTTTTCTAACATCTTTTGCAATTGACATGTTTAGCAATTTTCATATACGTATCCTGATAGCCCTGAAGCAGAGCTGGCTAATATACCTATCTTATTATTGAAGGCTATCCACTTAACTAAGGAAGTTTCCCTGTTTTATTTGCTCTGCAGGGTTTTTGTTGGGACAGTGAGTGAATTTTGCGTGAAGCATGCTGAGTGCCCCGTGATCACAATCAAGCGCAGCGCAGAGGAATCACCTCAGGATCCTGTTGATGACTGAGTTTTCCTGGAATTTGTATGCTTGAATTCTTTAATTCTGTCCAGTCATTTTCTACATCAGACCCTTGTACCTAAACACCAACTGGGAACAAATTAGATGCATTGCTTCTGTTTGCAATTATGCGCAGACGAAGAATTACGGTGAAATGTACGAAGGAACTTGGATATTTTGTGTTGTATTACTATTAGTTTGGGAGTTCATTTTAGGAGCTTTCTTGTTTATCATATAATATTAGGAGCTTTCTTGTTTATCATATAATATTGGCTTAATATGATGATGCCTTTGCCATGCTCGTTGCTTTTTTGAATTGGAGATCTAATGTTCTGAGTTGTGGGGAAAACCAACCCAAGTCACAGGCGAGCTCGTTGCCCAACTTTTTTGAATCATGATTGATTGGCATAAGTATAAAGGCATTCTTTTGTCAAAGGCACTTTATGGCCCACTTTTGAAAGTTTGGCTACAGGCATATTTGTGATAACTAGTATTTAGGACAGACCGACTGATGGTCCTAAAGCAAATTATTTCCAAACGTTTTAAAGAATTGTGAACCGACCGAGGAGAATTCAATAGCGAGAGAGGTGCTGCTTCGCAACAAAAGCTCGTGTATTGTTTGGTGTGGGAGTTAAAACAAAAAGAAGTGAAATTTACATCCAACTGGAACTGGTGGCTGAAATCAACACTGAGAGTTGCTTCTCACCAAAAGCTCCTGCTGATCTCTATATTGATAAGTTGAAGAAACTAGTTACACAGGCTAGATAAACTACTACATAACTTCATCCACAAGCATCCAAAAAGAAAGTAGAAATATTATCCCTAAACCTACATATGGATCACTAGCTTATATGACATACTGGGGATTGTGTGTAGAAACAAAAAGTTCAATTATACAAACAGTGAACCGATCTAAGATGAAGATTCAACCATTGTGCTTACCGTCTCCAATAACTCTTTTATCTCACTCTCCAACTTGGATTTCGTTACAGCTGACACTTTCCCATCCGAATTGTCCAGCATTGAGGTCAACTTCTCAAGTTTATGTCTAATGAAGTCGAGTTGTGACGCCTCACCGTCAACAGGGGGCTGTGAGTTTGTTCCTACTGGCTGACTTTTGGTCTTACCCCTGGACTTAGCTGGAGGAGAATTGGATATTTCACTCAGTTCACGAACCTTTGAAGCAGCCGAGAGATTGTGGAGCCGGAAGTTGACATTGGAAGCTCCAAAGGGACTGTCATTTTGCGAATGGTTGAAGGCTTCTTCCGCATCAGAGATCCTTAAGAAGGAAACCCGAGCGCAGAAATTGTTGTAGAACATCTCAGTTTCCATTTCATTCAGCTCTCCAAATTTACTATATATCTTGATAAGATCAGCTTTCGTGGGCAGAGAGGAACCAGGGCCAAATGTCACAAAAAGGGACGCAGGTGAAGCTTTCTCGTCCCTCTTCTTCCGCCTTGTCTTCAAATCCGGTGTTCCAGCAGCATGCTTTCCTATAGGCTTATCAGAGCTCTTCTTGATTTTCTTCTGCCCAGATTCACTGTCAGGTAGATTGTCTGCGGTTTGACTTCGGTCTTTCTCCAGTGACCCAGGCTCAGATATTAAATTCTTTCTCTTCCTATGAGGTTGGCGGTTCTTGTAAAGTTCGTAGTTGGAGCCATTGCGATAAATTGAGTCTCTGAATATGGCCATAAAGTCCCTAAAAATCTCAAAGGATTTCCTTTTGATTGGATATGATGGATTAAGAGCTGCAGAGCGGAGTTCAGATAGCACTAGACTCGCTGATGCATTAGCTTTCATTGGATTAATGCTCTTCTCCTCATCTTCTGCTGGTGCTTTAGGACTGAGTTCTGTAGTGTGTTTCTTCTTTAATTTCTCCGTGCAGCAATTCAACATATGAGGGGACCCAATAAGGTTAGAAGTAGCCCGCTCCCCTGACTGAGTTTCATTAGAAACTTCAGATTCTATTTCTATGTCTCGCATCCTTTTCACCATGTTAAGATTTGTGAAAGGAGGGGACAAGTACTTGCTCTTTTTCCTTTCCCTCGACAAGGGGCGGTTGTCAATTTGATCTTTCATATCACTTTGTAAACCACCACTGCGCAATTCCCCATCTCTTGAAAGAGGGCTGTCGCCAGTTTCTTCTTTCATCTTACCATCATCACTATCCATGCCAAAACTCTCATCCTTCTTCCGTCTCCTTGATAACCGACCCTTCTTACTTTCTTCCTTGCTGCCACTACAATCATTTTCAACACTCATATTTTTTTTGGTAAGAGTGCTTGTGGGTGACTTTGAGAGTCTGAGCTTTCTCTTTACTACATCAGAAACCAAATTACTCTCATCATGACTCTCACTGCCTTTCCGCTTCTTCTGCTCTGGTTTCTCTGATACTGCTCCCTCATTAGCCATAATCCCACCATCCTTAGTTTTCGCCTGAATATCATCGTCCCCTCCCATAAGATCAGCAATGCTTTTCTGCTTCCTTCTTTGATATTGCCTATCCTCTAAAATTTTGGGTGAACTTTGCGAAAATGTTTGATCAGTTTGACCAGTCTTTGCACCTCCGGGAGAAGAAAGCCAGTCTTCAAATGGCCCTTGGACAGGCACTTCCACCGCCTTCTCGTCATCCTCAAGACCAGGAACTGGCTGGGCTTCATAGAATACAGGCAATTGATACCCCCCTTTTGAAAAATAAAATGCAGACAGATAACTCTTTAACACAGTGAGCTCAAGCACACTACTCACGGATGTAACTTGGGAAGCATGCTTCAACTCAGCAAGAAGGTTTGCTGATTCAGATAGATGACCCAAAAACTTCCCAACTTTACCTTCAGGCACAAAAACTCCTTCCTTAATTCCAGCATTCAATGCCAAGGGTTGACTAATATCACTCAAAAACTCTTTCTTTACGCAGCCACAACTCATCTTCAACTTCACAAGTCTTCCAATCTCATCCACAGCCTGCTGCACGGCATTAACAAAAGCCTTGGAACTACTCTGCTTCGAAATCTCCTGAAAATTTTCCTCAAAGGGTTTTAATTGCGACGGATGGCACCAAGCAAATGTGCCGTCCCCAAAATAAGCAACAAGGAGTCTGTCCTTATATTTCAGTTTCACTGCATACTCCGACGCATCAGAAGGATCACAAATCTGGGCAGGCCACCATGGATGGCTCTTAATCTTACCCCACACAAAATCTCCCACAGAAAACTCATGTCCCTCGTCACCCATGTCCTCAGTGATCTCAGGTTTCCCATCTGGGTCTTCCTCAATCTCATCCAAAAAACTATCATTCTCTTCAGCCCTTCCTCCGTTCACACCAGTCTTACCCTCAATGATCTCATGTTTCCCATCTTGGTCTTCTTCAAATTCATCCAAAGAACTCCCATTTTCTTCAACCCCTCCGTTCACACCAGCCATAGCCATAGTAGCATCCGTCACCGCCTTTTTCTCCTTACTCGAAAAAGACTCGAACTTTTCAACACTACCCTCACCCCCTCTCAGTTTCAGCAAACTCGACTCTACAAGCCCACCCTCCTCAGTATCCGAGAGACCAACATTCAGGTCCCCAAAACTTCTCTCAGTCGAACTTTTGGGCTCAACCACCTGAGTCTTGACCACTTCACCTACCCTACTGCTACCCACATCACCAACAGAGCTCCCTCTACCGGACCCCCCTGGACCGGGCTGGGTTCCGCCCGAGCCGTTGATAGCTTCGACGATCGTGTTCTCCTCTGCATCTGGAGCTTTAGGTGGTTCAAGAGCAGAAGCTGAACCCCCCTCTACGGCTGTAGATCGTGTTGGGGCCGCTCCCATTTCGAGGATAATCTGCTCTCGAGAAAATCAAGCTCAGACTCTGATATTACAGCTGAAACGAATTGCATAAAAACCCCAGAAGCAAAAACAAAAGCAAGTATGTAAATCAGCACATTCTAGGGTTTTGGTTTCGTGAAGAAAGAGCTCGAAAATGGGATTAATATAATACTAAATGTGCACTAGCAGACGAGAATAATGCATACATGGAATAAAATAGTCGTATAAATAGTAAAAAACGAAATGAAAAAATAAAAATATATATATATACCTGAAGAAACCAAAAGCTTGAAGCTCAGGAAGCGATTCCCAGAGAAATATTTTAAAAAAAATATGGAAAGGAATGGAATCGAATTCCACACAGAGAGATAACTAAAAATCAAATTTTGAAAACGCCGTGTGCGTGAGAGAGAGAGAATAGAGGAGAGAGAGAACTGAAATTTGTGAAAGGGAAAATATCGTGGTAAAATGGCGAGAAATTGGTATATGAGGCGGTGGTGGGGAGCTGACAGCTGAGTAGCAGAGAAGACAGCGAGAAGAAGCGGCTATTTTGTTTTTGTTGTCCCTTTCTAGCAGAGCGGCCATCTCCACGTTTTGTACCCGGCAAGCTGACATTTGGGTTTGAAATATACTTACCCGCGAGAGTACATTAAGGAAGCACACTCGCGGGGATTTAGGGCTATGTATGGTTTGTTTCTGTAGCGATTCAAAGGGTATGCATGTGTTGCAGTTTCGATGTGGCGGCATTGGGGACATCAAACGGCTCAAGAGTTGTACTACGTTAGGATGATTCACCACGTGTCCCTTCTAGCCTTCGTTGAACAGAGCCCATAATAAAGGCGACGCTGATTGGGCGATCGCAGCGAGGGTTTGCGAAACGGCGTCGTCGTCTCCTTTATTTATCTCATGCATATGCGGTTTGCTTGCTTTTTATGCTACCTCCCGAACAGAAAAAAACTTACCTATAACGGGATAGCACCGGGGATGGCCTTCGTTGAAAAAATTATTCTTCGTGTCATTTCATTATTGATTAGAAATAGCAAAAAGTGTGATCCCCTAGCATGAGAGTTTCTCTATTCTAGTTTTTGCTTTTTATGCATGGCAGAAGCTTTTGCATAATTATTTCTTAGGTTGTTTGTTGATTGGCTTAATATCCACGCACAGGTTTTTCCAGCCAATCCATAGGAAGATCGAAGTTGGAATAATTACAAGCCATCAATTAAACACCTCATGTCCTGTCAGTATATCTAAGCCTAAGCTAGCTAGCTGTTTTATTAGCGCGGAAAAGAGGCTAGACATTTAGACTTGGGCCATTGCCTAACATTTTACCAATTTTCCTTTTTCCCATTTCCCCACCCTCACCTTGGTTGGTTTCCAATGCCAAATGCAAATTGAAAATGAAAGAATGGAGGGGATTATGGTTTCCAATGCCAAATGCAAATTGAAAATGAAAGAATGGAGGGGATTATGGTTTCCAATGCCAAATGCAAATTGAAAATGAAAGAATGGAAGGGATTATGAATAACGTGGACCACCAAATTCCACGAAACGGGAATTAATCTAATGAGAGGATTCGAACTTGAGTGCAAGGATATAATGAGAGGATGCGAACTTGAGTGCGAGGGACCGACTCACTGTCGTGATTAGCTGGCCTTATTCTGAACAAAAGCCACATTAATGTTTTTGTACACAAGAAATGGTTACCTTCCTTCTTGAGCACAAACATAATCCATATTACATACAGATGGATCAAACATACTGCATACACATTCAATTCAATTCTACCACCAAGCAAAACTAGAGAGCATAACAAACCATACTAAAAGAGCATATTAATCAAATTCTTCACCTTAAAATTACAACTCCAATTGCATTGAAATTGAACTTGAAGAAGAAGCAAGAAAGAGAACAATCCCATATCACTAACATCTACAAGTGCAAATAGTACACAAAAAGCAGAAGCTCATTTACTGAAAAAAAAACCCCAAACCGATTAGACAAATTACACAATGGCAACCTTAGCCCCAGCCTCTTCCAGCTGCTTCTTCGCCTCATCGGCTTCGTCCTTGGAAATCCCTTCTCTGAATTTCTTAGGCAAGCCCTCAATCAGCTCCTTGGCCTCCTTCAGCGCCAAGCTCGTCAACGCCCTAACAGCCTTAATCACCGCAATTCTCGCGTTACTCGGCACCTCCTCGATGACCACGTCGAACTCCGTCTTCTCCTCCACCACGGCCGGTCCCTCGGCGGCTCCTGGAGCCGCGGCCACCCCAGCGGCCGGGGCCAGAGCTGCGGCGGAGACGCCGAGCTTGTCTTGGAGGAAGTCGACGAGGATGCGAGCCTCCTCGAGGGTGAGGCTGGAGATGTCGGCGCCGAGCTTCTCAATCTTCTCGGGGGCTGCCACGGCCGCGAGGGGACGGAGGTGCGTGGCACGGTGGGTGAGGCTAGGGTTTTGGGGGTTGAAGGGGAATTGGAGGGTGGGTTTTGGGGTGTGCGGAGGAAAAGAGGAAGTCGCGGGTGTGTTGAGATAAGATGGGGTGCCCAATGTGAGTGTAGAGAGAGAGGCAGCCATTGTTGTAGTGTGGATTTGAGTTTTGGGTCTGAGGGAGAAATAGAAAGAAGGAAGAGTGAGTAGAAGAAGATAGGATAAGGGGGAATTCTAAAACTAGTGTCCAACGGGGTATGTAGCTGGGGTTTTTTCTTTAGTTGACGGATTTACCCTTGTGACTTGATAAAAAAAACTAAATATGTTGTCGTTTGAACGGGGGCATAAAAAGGAAAAATGAAAAAATAAAGGTCCTAGGGTCGGGGCATTCCGAGAATCGAACTCGGGACCTCTCGCACCCAAAGCGAGAATCATACCACTAGACCAAATGCCCGCTTGAGGGGTTTTCTTTATAATTTCGAATAAGTAACAAGAAAAACAGGTTTCCACTCATCATTTTCCTCTTCTTCTTCGTTTGAACAGCTACCTGCCAGGGGCGGATCTATTAAGGCGCAAGGAGGTGCAGCTGCACCTCCCTTTGCCGGAAAAACCATTGTAGGTGCTTCAAATTGCCCCTTTGCTCAACTGGTGTACAGATCACCTTATTTCTTTGTCCTTTTACTTTTATTTATTTTTATATTACTCCATTTACTTAAGTTTACAATGTAAATAAGGAAGTACCCCCCATTTGGATTCAAATAAAAATACTAGAAAATCAAATTCCCACCAAATCAAAATATGAAAATTCGGTTTTAGTGCAAAATACGATTTAGGCTAAAAATGATGGCTCATTAAGTCAATATATACTTCATACTAAAATCCCATAAAATCAAGTTTTCTTATTTGATGTATAAGGAATAAAAGCCGCCAAAAATTATCTTGAGAAAATGATTATTCCGAAAAACCATTTTCATACTTAGTCAATATTGCACCTCCGCTAAAAAAATTCTGGATCCGCCAGTGTACCTGCGTAGTTATTTTATTTTATTTTATTTTAAGAAAAAGGAAGAAGAAAATACAAATGATAGAATGGATATCTACAAAGATATTTTTAATTTTTACAACGGTATACTGAGTCCACAGCATAGTTACACTAGTTCCATGGAGTTGGTAAAAATTAAGTATCAATCGTAGATATACATTGCATTGCATCGCATTCATGTAAATCAAACATTCTTGAACAATGGCGGACGCAATAATTAGTCCTGTTGAGCCCCTACGTAGGTCCGCCCTTGTTCTTGAACTAAGTGAAAATAATTACCACTAGACTAAATGGTAGTTGGTACATGTAAAATTTGTATTTCCTTGCATCACCATTCACTAACAATTGGTCAGACAAGGACTAGTAGACGAAAGAGTTACACATGGACAAACTCTTTTTGTAACTCTTTTTTGGTCTTTTCCGTTTTTATTTTAGTTGAGCAAAATAGATGACCAGGAAGGAAGGGAAACAATTTTTCGTATAAGGATGTATATAATTTTTGTATTATTTTCAACCCTAATAAATACGACCAAATATTTGAAGTACGTAAATCTCCTACACCTATCAATGCCACACAACATGGGGGTATAATACATTATACATCAACCCAAACAAACAGCTGCTCACCACCTTCTGCGCTTCCTTCCGTACCAGAATGCAAACGCAGCTACTGATGCAGCCAGAACAACACCAGCGGTTGCATGCAATGCATATATTGGTCTCTCCAGAACTATGCCAGAACCAATAACATCACGAGGCGGTGATGGTGGCGGTTTCTCACTAACAGTCACAGCAAAACCCAAGCCTTGCCTTTCCAACTCGGCCAAGTCCTCAACTGCTGGCTTCAGCCTCGTGGCCTTGGCTATAGCTTCATACTCTTCCTTGGTACCACCTTCAAGGAAAGAACCAACAAGATGGCCGTTTCTTACCCAATAAGCTCCAAATGTGCCTCCTGAGAAATCTCCATAATGGACCACATCTCCTGCATTGTCCCCATAAAACTGCCATGACAGGGTGAAGACTCTGGAGTAAAAGAATGGTAGATAGTCAAATTCGCCCGCTTGGTTTCGTTCCATTATTGCACCAACAGCATGTCTTGCGGATTTTCTGGCTGAGTCGACGTGTTCAAGCCTTCGGGACTCGCCAAATACTTTGACTGGGAATGTGGCAACATCTCCCACTGCATAGACTGAGCTATTGCTCGACTGCATCTTCCCATTCACTTTGATCCCACCTTTCTCCAGTGTAAGTTGACCTTCAAATAGGCTTGTGTTGGGACGGATTCCTATACCCACCACAACCGTGTCTGCAGGAAGACTACTTCCATCTCTAAGATTAACAGCTGTGACCTGCGCAAGAGTTTACCAGCAAAAATTTAGCAAATCAATTAGAAGATTGAATTCAAAGAAAATGTACCCAACACGCATGTGAGTATAATCACTCAAGTGAGGACATTTGAAGTCAATAATAACTCAAATTAGAAGCATTTTCGCATTTACCTTCCCATTCGAGTCAATATCAAACGAGGACAAAATGGTTCCTTTGACGAACTTTACTCCTTTGGACTTGTAAAATTCTTCATAAAAACTTGCGATCTTGGGTGTGAACAATCGGGCCACTGCAAAATTAAAATTAAAATAAAAAAGTTGATATATTTGCTTACAACTACTCCTTCACCACAAATAGAAAAGGTGCATTTGAGAAAGCTCGATGAACAAAGAAGATACAGTATCGGAATAAAAGTACATACTGCAATGTTCTTCTGGGAAAACCATTGTTACACCCATCCTATTGATCACCAATGATGCAGCACACTCCATTCCAATGTAGCCACCACCAATGACAACAGCATTCCCACCAGAGCAAGATTCCATCAAGTTGACAAGTCTATTTGCATCAGCCAAATCTCGTAAATAGCACACATTTTCAGAATCTGATCCTTTCACTCCAAATTCTTCCAGCTTCAGTGCCTACTTTCACCACATGCGCACACACACATCAATCCATTAAGGCAAGAAAGCAAATTTTTCATAAAATGCTATCCTTGGGAAATAACCCTTAGAATTCTGAAAATAATGTCAAATGCAACCACATTAACAAAGATGTAGAAAAGTTTATTGGCATTAAAGGTCTAATACAATATCCTCATTTTTAATCAGTATTTGACATTCTAATTGCGTATATTATAATTGCATTTCACATTCTACTACTTTTAGCTTTAACAGAACATATGCAGCAAGAAAAGGTAGAAGACAATTATGAGATCAGTTTCAATACCCGAGCACCTGTTGCAATGATGAGAACTTTGTAACTTATGGTCTCTCCAGATCCTGTCAACAGTGTCTTGCGTCTCACATCAACAGACTTAACTCGACTTCCAAGAACTAATTCGATCCCTATAAATAAAAGGCCCAAATTCCCCAATGAGTGAGAGAGAGAGATAGAGGAACAGGAACAAAAATGATTATACACAAGGAAAGTGAAGGGTACGTTATTCAACTTTATTATTCATATATCTGGTTGTGTATTTTGATTTTATCTATAGAGAACCAAGTGTCAAACCAAATGTGTAGACACCACAAAAGTTAATTATGGAAAGAACAAACAACAACATAAGCATCATGCATATTCTCTCGATGAAATACCACATCCTACAATTCCCATTAACACAAAGAAAAAAAATTAAGGAAGCAAAAAAGTCATAGATAGTTACCATGCTCCTTATACCATTTTGGCGTTAACCTTTCCTCATTAGCACCAACACAAGTGTGAAATGATGGAAGGCGTGCAGGCGCTGCACATCACAGTAAAAGATCATTCAATTTTGAGCGGTATAAATAAAAATGTGGGAAAGAAAAATAGTTCAGAGCAATATACAATGAAGATATTATTATTGCTGAGAAAGAGACTCTGTACCTTCAGGAAGTAGAAAGCCTTTGCTTAAAGCAGGTCTCTCATAAGGCGGCACCTGAAAAGGATATTCCCAAATCAAGGAATTTATTTGAACAAACTTTATCACTTATATTACAAATTCATTCAAGAAAAAAAAAATAAAGAACTTTACATGTTAAACAAAGATGCAGGGAACAGGTTATCTACTTGATATGAATTCTTCTCACAATACAAGGTTTGATATATAACACAAATTTCATTTAGCAAGGGGCAACTGAAAGGACCAGTTCAAGAGTATGTCACTTAATAAGGCGGTTCAATGTTTAATTATTGTTGCAGATCCAGTTCATCAGTCAAATATATCTAAGGTTTAAAGGAAATACCTCACTGGGTTTTTTTTATATTAGAAAGAGGTGTTTTGGACAAAATCTTCCTAACATGCATATCATCTCCCCTCTTCCCTTAAGCCACTTTTAACTTAAGTGAAAAATTTCACTCTGGTTTGAACAACTACCCAAAGAATATGCAATGATTTAGAACTATATAAGTATATATCATGTATGTAAGTGTGTTCATAGGTGGGAAAGTCCACATTGTAAATCCAAAAAGCTGATAGCACCTATAAAAATAATATTTAGAACATATCAACAATTCTCCAATACAATTCTAAGCCCTTGACTTCTCTTCCATCAACTTAATTGATATCTCATAGAATGGAATGTGAAAAATATAAGAATTAATGTTTCTGTTTCTGTTTTTTTTCCTTCGAATACAGAATTAAATGTTCGAAAGAGCAATAACCCAATTGTGAAGAGCATATATATACCCATCAAAGACATGAATACCATGAATAGATAAAAAACAAATTGAGAAGAAAGGGAGAAAATACTCACTGGTTCTTCAGAAATTATGCAGAGTTCACCATGAGAGATGCCTCTCTTCGTGAATTCAAGAGCTGCATAGCCAGCAGCCACCCCTCCTCCGAGAATCACATACAGAAATGCCCTTCCCATCTCTCTCTCTCTCTCTCTCTCTCTCCCCTCTTCCTTTGGGTGGTGTGTGTAATTTGAAGAGATTGATTCTAGGGAGAGCTTACTTTGAAGAAGGCTCTCCCAAGAAAGATGAACAACACTTTCATTAATCTTCAATCCAAATGTGAATGTGACACGCGCGTGTGATGTCAGACAGATCATGAGATGCATGGTTTTACCATAATACCCTTGTAGCTGTTGTTTGTTTTCTGGATTGAATTGTATGCCATATACCGTTGATGAGGTTCATTTGTGGGATGGGACCCTCTCTGTGATCGTGGGTGGACCATGCTTTTGTTCTTCAGGGTCCGCCCAGCGAGTCATTTACTGCCACGTGTTATGAGCTAATCACGCCATGCTGTGATGGATAACACAACATTTGTTGTTACTGGGAATTGTGACGACGAGCATGGAAGGAAGGATGAAGGAAGATCAAGCTATGTCAGGAGGAGGATTGGTGCAAGTGGCTCCATAACACCTCGTGTAACTGAATCATGGATGAGCCTTGCGTTGTGTCTCTGCCACACGTTTTATTTCTTGAACTTATCCTATCTAATCCCAATATATATTTTTTGGTTCTTGCATTTTGAGAGGTACAATGGATATAATATGTCTTATATTTCTTTGAAAAAGTAAAATATTTGGCTCATTAATTTGAGAGTGTTTAAATCATAGATTTTTTTTTATTTTTTTTTATTTTTTTTTTTTTGGTCCAAAAAAAAAAAATCATAGATGCTTTTATTTTTATTTTTTTGGGTGGTCAAGTGTTTAAATCATAGATAAATGGTGTATTATGGTAGTTTAGATTATCGTTTATATTTAATGGGGTCTAGTATAGTTAAAAACGATCTTGACTTGTAGATCAAGTCTCATATTTGAACCAGCCATAGTGTGTGTGAGAAATCTTCATTTCTTTATAATTTAGATTATCACTTATATTCAATAACAAATTTAAAAAATTCATGATTAACCACTATTTTTTTAAGGCAGATAACTCATATAAGGTCAAAAGTATGGTTTGACCAAAATTTTAAGGTCAATCATGGGCCAATCCAACTACATTGAAACTTACCAAGAACGTCATATTTTAGTCTTGGGCCTTATATCATGTCCTTGTTCTCAACTCCAAACCCAGACTTGGGATCATGCATGGGCAAGCCAGAGCCCACCTCTGTTATATTTAATGGGCCGTCAGATCCGAGCATGGAGATCAGTTTTATTTTACTCTCTAGTAATAGTTGGTATCGAATGGTCTTTTCTTTACCGGGTTCCTGACATATAATGTTATCAGACTGTGAATTAAAATAATTTATTGAAGCACAACTTGAAGAGTTAATTTAATAATCTAACAACTTTCATCAAGAATATAATAGTCTCTTGCTGAATGTTTATAGTTTTGATCGATAATTTGACAATATAACATTTTCAAAATTGTCGGTAAATCCAATGTTTCCTTGCACACGATTATAAGAAAAGAATTAGAGACATTGGTTGTTGCACATGCTCACCATAAATTGTAGAAGACGAAAGATAACCTTGATAGGAAAAACATCCCGGTTGCATAATTCATTGTGTATTGATATGTCGACTTTCCAAGTACTTTCACTTTCATCCAATTAACTACGATTTTCTATGCGTCCTCACATCACACATGTCCAAGACTAGTCATCATGGAATCACATAATAACTTTGCATGCCATTTATATGTTCCTTGTCGGCACCATTACCATCCCACAAATGAATCACAAATATTGAAGCCTATATTAGGAGAAATAATATTTCCCTTACCTTTTGTTTCATTGTTCGTTTCTTTCTCTTTCTCGTGCTCTGGAAAATCCGTTTCTTTCTCTTTCTCGTGTTCTGAAAAGTGACACGATGAGAGAAATAGAAAGAATGAATCAATAAAACGGAATTTTTCCGGCTCACTAATATCCAAATCTACTAAATGAATACGCTCATTTTAGAACCATGATCCCTTTGCAGGTCCATCCGAGATTCGAGACCCGGAAGCAAATGAAACTAGCACCAATTTGAATAGTTTAATTAGATTAGATAAGGCCCATTAGTGGAAAAAAAACAAGTAGCCTTGCTTAATTCAATGGGCCTGGGGATATTTTTGCTGTCAACATGTTCACATGTTAATTTTTCCACATTCATGGCCGACCCAACATGTGATTTTTCCTCATCTTCCACGTGATAGTTATCGTTTGTGCTCTGCAATCAATTCAAATTGCGCACAAAAAACATGTGACTTAAAAAAACGAGTGGCTGAGAGATGAAGTTCCTTTTCGTATGACCTCGGGCAACAACAAAAGATCTGTCCTCGATTATATTTGCCATATTTGGCAATGCAAAGTCCGAAGAAATGGGCCCTCGAGCTTCTTTTATGAGCCATTTCTTTGAATAAGGGTTCAATGCTAAAGTTTAAGGTTCGTTGTAAATTCCTGTGTCATCCAGGACGAGTCGACCTAACTTTGTTTTTTTCTGTTTCTCTCGACCCACAAAATATCTAAAGAGTTTAAAGTTGTTAATATCAACTAACGAACTTAATTGAAACTTTTCGAATTCTTTTTTGAGTACGAGCGGTAGTCTAAACTACAAGACATATGAATTTATTGCACACACAAAACTAACAAAACAATAAAGAAAGCAACAATTCTATTGAGCGATGAGTGTTGCCATGTGGTAGCACGTTGGAGAAGTAGATACCATAAATTTATGAGGAATTTATTTTGTGCCGAAAAATAAAAATTATGTAAGGAATTGATAATAAAGAGAGCATGTGAAAACTTGCTTGCAGTGGTTGCAAGTTAGGCTCACGTCCAACATCAGTTTTGCATGCGCCCATGCACAACTTTGGAAAAGCCGATATGGAATCTTAACAAGAATAGCAATAAGCTTTCTACGTGTCGATTTCCCAGTGGTTCAGTTTTGTATGTGTGTGTGTGTGCGTATCTTCATTCTTCTTCTTCATATCCATCATATCTTCAAATTTTCATGTGCTCTTCACATCCTAAGTAAAAGATGTGTAAACTCAATTAAATAACATTAAGCCTTATTTATTATTCATAAAACACTAAAAGTACAGGTCTCTATTTCTTCAGTCCCCATCATATTGAACTCCAAATAAAAGCCTCGACTAATTAGTGCTTCAATTAAGACAAATCCGAGACCTCAGATTAACTCAATACAAAAGTCTCGACTAATTAATGCTTCAATTAAGACAAATCCGAGATCTCATTGTAGGAAACATATTAAATTAAGCCATCCAAACAATGTACATATATATATATATAGTTATGCCAAATACTCTCTTTTACTGTATATATAGGGACGGAAACTGCAAAGCTTACGATCCTAGTGCAAACTAAAATCAAGTATGAACCAAGATATATGTTTATATTATATATATATAAAAAACATATATATATATTATATAGACAAACCTAATAATCAATGATCCAAATAAGAATTTGGAGCATAATATATGATTTGGGTTGCTTAATTACTCTCCATTTAGTAACTGCATAGACCAGAGATCCTCAATGCTCCAGTAGTTTTCATGGGAGTGATCAGCAGGTAAAGAGGAAGGATAAGCATCCATATTTGGTGGATAATTAGCCGGTGCGGCGTGGGTAATTTCCATTGTGTCCACAGCAGCGCTGGAGATCGACACCTGACTTGTGCTTGCTTGATCATTCACCTCGAAGTTTTGTCCAGGTGTAATATTATTCTCTGCTTGCTTAATGTGCTTTTGAATTCTAGTCCTCCAATAGTTCTTGATTTCGTTATCGGTCCGTCCTGGCAGATGTTTTGCGATTTTCGACCACCTGAGTTGCAAGAAAACAAAATATCAAATGTTAAAGCTGCCACAATAAATTATTTCTACTGCCAGTAATTGCTACACAAACTCCTATAAGAAAAAGTTGCTGCTGTGAGAAATAAGTGGTATCAGAAGCATTGTTAGCAGAAAGAACACTCACTGCAGAAAATAATGGAACATCTCAATCTATATATAAACACAATTAATTAAAACAGAAACAAAAATTACCTTCAACTTGCAATTAAATATTACTGAAAATTCCAAGCCAAGCATGTTCTATGGGTGAGAATGAAAGCCTTCCAAGCTGGACTCATTTACACACACACACACACACATGTATATATAAGGCAGATCAGGACACAGGACTTGGTCATCTATAAGAACACAAAACATTTACTTTGCGTATTTGTATGTATATACACAGATAACAGCTCCATCTCCATCTCCAAGCTTAGTTTCCATGTCCAACCACTTGTCCAATTCAGGCTTAGCTTAGTCAAGGGAGCTCTATCCTTGAGATTCAAAGGCAAAGCCCAGAATCTATGTATATAACGGTACAGTATGGATACATAATACATATATATATATATATATATGCATATTCTGAATTGTTATTTCTTATATCTATATCAATATGGTTCTGTTTTGTCCATATCTACCAGGTGAAGGGGGTTGAAAAAATCGAACCGTATTCGGCAGAAAATTTGAGCCCAACTGCCGGAGAAGAGGCTTCAAGTTATCAATATAATTTAGTATTAATTATATTCAAAGTACGTACTAAGTAAAGTTCCACTTAGCCATGCAGGTGCCTTGTTTTGTAACATTAATACTTTGATTAGCAGCTGCTGCCTCCTCCTCCATGCATCGATGGATCTTTATGTGTACGAACAAGGGGGGCCAGTGCTTGCCTTAAGCTGCCAAAACAGTATGGTTCACGTCTATTTCAACCCAAAGCAAAAGAGTTTGTCCTTTTCTTCTGAATGCGAGGGTCGGCATGTGACCAGTTTTAACTGGAAGGTTTTTATTGCCTCCAATACTTTTTGGGTTCCAGTCCAGAACGCGTCTTAATATATCACAACTTCTTCACCACCACACACCACTAGTTTTAAGGTATTTCTTCTCTTTCCTTCCCAGATTCACAACTATTTCCAAAACCTTTGGACTTTTTTTTATTTTTTTATTAAGAACATTTATAATTGTTTTGACTTCATTACCAGTTTTAATTTAAACCTTAAAATTACTATGGAAAGGGTTTTTTCTTAATTTTTCCTAACTCCTCAAATGGTGTATACCCCACAATATCATGGCTCAATCACATAGTAGATTTTTTTTTCCGCAAACTACAAAAAAAAATAAATAAAAAAATAAAAAAATTGCAACTCTATGTAATTATAGAAGCTATACAGTTTTCCCCACACAAGTGAACGGCTATATATTAATGATCATGAAGAAAGAAGAAGGGTTGATGTTGCCCTTGAAAGAAAAAGGGTCCACTGCAATGATTTGCCCCAGGCCTCCACTCGCCAGTAGTCCATCCTATAACACATCTAAGAGAGACTGCTATCAATTAAGCACATATATTTATATGCACTTTTTTGAGAATTTTTTTTTCAAACTTCCGTGTGGATGAAATCACAATAATGGATAATACGTAGAATCAAAATGAAGAAAAAGAACTGATCGAAGAGGGATTTTTGGTAGCCATGAAAGTACAAGAAACAGATCTTTCTCTGGATTTTTGCTGGCCATAAGTTCCTCATGTGTTCTATATCATTTTCGTAATCACCTAATGATGACTCAAATTCCCCACACGTTCACGTTGTATCTCTCTCTCTCTCTCTCTCTCTCTCTCTCTCTCTTCCCTCAATAGGGCTACTATCAAGGTCCTATGTATATGAGATCAAATCCTACTTAGTCATCAAAATTAAGAAGGAATTAAGAAGGTGATCACGGAGAGAAATAGATCAAAACTTGTGAAATCCACATGTAATATAATCATATGTATATATTTGTCTCTGTCATTGAAATATCAAGGTACGTGCATACCTATATGTTGTTATTTCACTGTATAATAAATAAATAAATAGAATAAAGTGATGATCACCTGTTTCCCCACTTGGCATGCAGTTCCATAATCAAAAGTTGTTCCTCAGGTGTAATATTGCCTCTCCTAACATCAGGCCGCAGATAATTTAGCCACCGGAGCCGGCAACTCTTCCCAGTACGTTTGAGACCTAGTGACATAATATACACCTCCTAGTGACATATACATAATATGTATGTAGTTTGAAAATGATTAAAAGGTTCTAGCTAGGGTTTTGATTTTATGTTAGATACTAATATTTAGAGATCAAACATGTTATACCAGCAGCTTTGGCTAGGGAGTTCCATACACCTTCACCGTGATTTGCAATATAGTTGATCAGAATCAAATCTTCTTCCATGGTCCATGGCCCTTTTCTCACTTCAACATCCTGGGATGAACTATTGCATGGCTTTTTATCCATCTCTTGTCTGTGTGATTGTGCGTTTCTGATAGAGAAAAGACAGAGAGATAGAGAGATGAGAGATGAGAGATGAGGGATGAGAGAGAGGGGAGAGGGGGGGGGGGGGGGGGGGGGGGGGGGGGGGGGGGGGGGGGAGAGCGAGAGAGAGAGAGAGAGAGAGAGGGCAGTTAGGCAAGATAATAGGAGATAATGGGGTAGCTGGGGGTTTTTATAGAGGGAGAGCAAAATATACTTCCCCAGTTATATTACTGTATTTAATCGGCATTGGAGTAGAGAGATTTTAATCCAACTGGTTTGATTAATTATATAATCATGTATATTGTATGCATGATCATCTATACTTAATAATCTCTCCATGTCGCTAGCGAACATAAACACATGCACTCCTACGTAAGCATAATATTGTATATACAACAATATCTAGAACAAAAAAAAAAGAAGAGAAAATTGTATCCCAGAAACAAGTGTGTATAACTTGAGGTAAAGGAAGTTAATTTAAAAGGAGCATATGTATATCTCAAAAAAACCAAACAAACATTTGTATATGTACATAGAAAGAGAGAGAGAGAGAGAGAGAGAGAGAGAGAGAGCGAGAGAGAGAGAGAGCGAGAGAGAGAGAGAGAGAGAGAGAGAGAATGTATGATTCGACCGTTGGAGCACTCATACGAACCAAAGCTCGCACTTGAACATTTTGTAAAATATATCTACACATGTCTATGAGAAAATTTATTTAAGGGAAGACGAGTGTGAACGTTGTGGTTTGAACAACGCCGCATGTATTGGTTTGAACGACAACGCATGTAAAATTTCGTACTGTGTGGATAATGCATGCATGTGCGCCCCAGTTGGAAGTTGATGAAGAAAGCCACCACAGCATGATGAGGTGACATAATCTTGTTGATTTCACTGTTTTTACCAGTTGCTTAGTATTAAACTTGTGTTTCGCCAATTTCTACATTATATATTTTTATAAAATTTTGAATCCTATTAAAATCTGGACATTGTTAATTTCTCCGCGTTCAAGTCGGGACCCACTTTCCCTTGCTACTCCTACAGTCTACTGCTAGCTTGGCGCCCTAGAGAGCCTCCTTTGCGATGTTTTCTTCTTTTGTCGGGCCGGCCTAAACCTCTATTTTTGAACAAAGGCCCACTTCAATAAGGACACCATTTCATTAATTCTTTTAAGTTTAAGCAACAAAAATTCTTATTCATATCTTATCCAACTGGAAATTGGAGTTAGAACGTAAGACCTTTTGTATGCAAGTCGAGGTTCCTTTTCATTAGGCTAGACTCTATTAACAAAATTGTATAAGTATTTAAAACACGTAATGTTGAATATCAATTCTCCCATGTTATTACAGTCATAATCAATTTATTAAAATCATGTCCTAAGTTTAGTAAAATTTTAGCTAGGTCACTCATACCGTTCTTGGATCTCGCGGACCGGCCATCTTTTTGTTGGATCTTGTTGTAAGTTCAAATCTAACAAGTCTCTAATGGGTTCTTCTTTATTCTTCCTTTTACCACCGATAATAAAAGAGCTTGACCTACTCATATAATTGTATGAAGAAACCTTAAAAAAAAAAAACAAATATATATATTTTAGTCAAGAGAAACCTCAAAACCTATAATAACCCGTGCAAATGACACTAAAAAACCAAAAATGACACAACCTGATAATTTCGCGAACCTAAAAAACGTTTTGAGATAAAAGTATTCATATTTATCGAAAACGTTTTATTCCACTCCTCATTCTAGTACTGGAGAAATTGTAAAACACATCATAAGTTATATATATCTTGTTAATTGAATAATTTGACTGACCGAATAAAAGATGAATATTCCATTATTACTAAAGAGGAATACGTTTGTTTCTCATCCGTCAATGCATACTAGCGTATAAAGTCAAGAGGAGGAGAGGACAAATTGGCATATTCTTAATCAATCTAAATTAAATACCTAACCAGCGTAGTATTAGCCACTCATTATATGTCTAAATAAGAAAGTCTTCTCCCCCCAACCCCACGAAAACCTTACATATATGTACTTATTATTTGACACTTCCTGCGAAAGTCGTACGGAAGCATTCTACATTTAGAAACCCATGTTGTTGTGGGTTTGTGGCCCTCTATGAGATCAAGACGCGTAGTGTTTATAATATACATATCGATTCACGGTTATCAATTATTTCATACTCGGACATTAAAGTTTATACTTGTAATTTTTATGCGATATCAATCAACAGTTTTTAATCGTTGCATGAACAGTTGACATTAAAACTACTAGTGGAAGTATTAACAAATAAGAAAACAAGTTAGAATGATCAGCACCGTCGTAATTAATACAAAGAATAATACAATGCATATATACATGTATATAGTAATTGGGAAGGTCCTTGGAGTTGGGAGATACACGTACGTCTGCTTTTGTTTCTGAATCAGAGAAAGTTTGGACAGAATCAAGTGCTCAAAGAAAAGAGGATGAGAGATTAGTGGCCAGCCTGGGCAGGAGGTTGTTTGAGCACCAACATGATCCTTTAATTTAGAGCACGACATGTGATCACAGCTAACAATCTGAGTTTTGGGCCACTAGTTTTGCCACCCCACAAATGACAATCTAGGTACTTAATCTCAGCCACGAGATTGATTTTGTTTATGTGGCTGAGGTCAAGGATTAATGAGCTAGCTGTCCTCAGCCATAAAAGGGAACTAAGACAAACTCACATTGTGGATTTGATGGTGCTTCTCCTTTTTGCAAACCTCACCACTATCCATTAGGTCTTGTGTTGCCATAAGATTGATGGGATTTCATAGATTTTTTCAAATTAATTAGGTTTGGATGACAGCAAGTTTCATTTATATGTTAACTCACTTATGGCTTGTGACTTGTCAATTAAGTGTTAACATGGCAAGTAAGATCGCTTTCCTGGCCAAATCTTGTGCAGGTATGGAGATAAAGATAAGTGTTAGCTTAGATTCTTAAGAAAAATAAATTTTAATCTTTAAAGAATATATGATTTTACAAATATGGACTTAACCAAGTTGGTTAGAGCAAATGTGCTCTCCACTCTGCGCTCGAGTTCGAATCCCCGTCCCTTTAAGATTAGATTAAAGTAGAATATCGCTTTTATAAAGATATATTTGTTTTTCTATAAATAAAAAAATTGGCACCGTATGTTTTATTTATTAAAATTCAAAAAATGAAATTTTGTTATAATTTTAAAGATGAACACATTGTCAATTAAAACTTTAAATTATAAGTCATTAAGAAAAAAGGCATTTGTAAATATATGTAAGAGAAATTAAGCATGAGACAAGAAAGTAACTCGAAATCGTTATCCAGACCAGAGACAGGAGACTCAGGAGGCGAGCATGTGCCGACTTCTTCGGCTCTCTTCTTCTAATCGAAGAAAAGAGAGCCAGAGCAGAGAGCCTCTCTCTTGATATCTTTTCTTTCTGTGATTACACTGAGCTTGAAGCCTAATGGGCTAGCAAGGTAGAAGTAGAGCCCACCGTACAATACAATTGGGTTTTGAGAACAGACTTCACGTCAGGTTTTGTATCCATACACCCATTCCGGGCCCAAAAGAGTCTAAAGATTCGAAGAGCCCAGAAATGAAGCACATGTGAAGTGCCGGCCCTATTGCACCTGAGTTTAATCCCCTCCCCGTACTCTATTGCACCTGAGATTAATCCCCCTCCCCGTACGTTAGATTAGTTAGAATATCACTATTTCAAAAAGAAGAGCCAAGAAATGAAAATCCAGAGGGGTTTACTTAGCCAGGAAATTAAAGTTGTAGAGTATCAACCAAGGATTATTGACACTCAAACATGCGAAAATACAGCCGCGCATGATCTCTAATTAAGTTTTTCTTCTTTTTTAACTTCAAAATTTGATGTTTTGGTCGAAACATGAAGAGCAGACAATTGAAGCAAACACGATAAATATAAACTTGGCTCATGCGTCAAAATGATTGTAACAACATAGCAACTTCGTTTACAGCTAAACATTATAGCTAGAGTAGCAAATACACACATGATTTCTGACAACGTCTCGCCAAAACATTCTGCTATTACAACATTCATCGAAATAAAGGAAAACTCTCCTCCCCAGAATCTCCAAGTCAAGCAACGAAACTCCTTGACCTTGACTCTCATGCCTGTAAATTAACAGAGGGAGGGTTGTCAGAAATATAGAATCGAAAGAGTCATGCAGACACAGCAAATATGGATGGTAATTGAAAAAAAACATTGTTAATGTAATTCGTCCAACATTTAAGAATGCTGCGTAGTAAAATACTCCACAAATTAATACCATGATCTGATACTCTTATTAAATAAAATAAAAATAAAAAACATAATTTGGGAAAACTTGCCTTGCTAGCAATGTTGTTGGAAAGCCAGTCTAACCCCTCGTACAGACCCTCTCCAGAGGTTGCACAAGTGCTCTGGATGTACCTGAAAAACAGCAACATCACCAACAATACTTCAGGCCAAATTTTTCTATCCTCAAAACCATTATATCCAGTATTCAACTTTGTCCAATATCTTCACATGACATTCAAAAAAACCTCATTTCAAATTTCTTAGTTGTTTAGTTTGAACCATCCATAGCTAACTCAACGTGCCACAGAGTTTTCAATACTCCTAGCTCCTATCTAAGAGAAACTAATGAGTAAAATTTCCCATGATAAAACAAATAATGCCAAATTTCAGTCTCAGCCATTAGGCTAGCATCCTATTCAATTTGATCAACCATATAACACAAATTAACAAAAAGTCATGGTCATAACTGATGTTCAATTCAACTATGAACTAACAGTTGCAGGGTGAAAATTAACAAAATAATTTACCAGTGACGTTGGCGGAGAGAATGAAGACCAAGCTTATCAGTTATTTCTGCGGCATTCATTGCATTAGGAAGATCTTGTTTGTTGGCAAATACAAGCAGAACAGCATCCCTCAGTTCATCCTGAAACCATATCAAACATTTAACTTCAAAATCTAGTGCCAGGAGTATGTGCAACTGTTGCATCCTAAACAAGGTTTCAGATCACTTTCAGGGAATGTAAACAGAGCTATATCTTAATACAAATGAAGCAACCAAATAAGGGAATGGACAAATGCAACTTTGGGAAAGTATGTCACGAACCAAACCAAACCGAAACTTACCAGGCCAAAAAATCCAAGTAAACACAGAACAATACAAAACAACATAAAACTCAATTTAGAAGCATACAACCCCCTTGGCCCCATTAATGACGGGAACTTCAGAAATCCCAGTACAAATAAGGAAAACAAAAATATAAGACATGAAACAAGTAGTTACCTCATTCAACATCCTATGCAATTCATCCCTTGCCTCAACAACTCGATCCCTATCATTGCTATCAACCACAAAAATAAGACCTTGTGTGTTCTGGAAGTAGTGCCTCCACAATGGACGGATCTGTATTTGGAAGAAGTTGGATCAGTCACTGGCTATGCATAATTCGAACTTCAGAAAAATGTCCACATTAAAAGGTAATTTCAAAATCTCTAATTATTCAATGAAAATAAATTATATAAAATGTTATTGCACCCATAATACATGAATCTAACTGCCTATTTAGAAGATTTTCAGAAACAAATTCCTACAACGACTAAAAACTTGTTGCAAAATCAAGAATAAAATGCACACATAGACGCGTGAATGAGAGAGAGAGATAGTTACTTTGTCTTGACCCCCTACATCCCACACAGTGAAGCTGATGTTCTTATATTCTACTGTCTCCACATTAAATCCTGCAGAAGAACCACTCCCGTAATTAAAATGACAAGTGATAACAATTTTGATTCAGAAGAATTCCGAGAAATAAAACAAATCGTCATCTTCACTACAACAGATGGTTGGGAGAAAAAGCACCAATGAAACCAAAACCAACATACAATTCTTCATGAGCGGAGAATTTATACCCCCACAACGTAATTGATCTAAATATTTGAATCAAAATATTGAGTTTTTAATCAAAATATTGGATTGGGGCTTACCAATGGTAGGGATGGTGGTCACAATTTCTCCGAGCTTGAGCTTATACAATATGGTAGTCTTACCAGCGGCATCGAGACCCACCATGAGAATTCGCATTTCTTTCTTGGCAAAGAGCCTGCTGAAGAGCTTCGTGAAGGTAAGCCCCATTTTTATCAAATTGTCTGCCACATACAATCAGACCATACAGTAAAATCAAAATTAGCAAAATTCTCATGCTGGGATTTCGTTCTACAATAACATAAAGCAAAATCAATCCAATATTCTTTCAAATCGTAATGAAAAATTCAATCAGATCCATATCATTTCGTGAATTGAAAAAACGAAGAGGGATTTCATTTTACATGGAGATCAAGATCGATTAGGCAGATCTACGATTCGCATCTGATAACGAAGAATTCACAAAACGGACGACGAAATACTAGAGAGAGAGAGAGACAGAGAGAGAGAGAGAGCGAGAGAGACTCACCTGGAGGAACTAGGAAGGATCAAAATGAGAGGAGGAGCCAACACAGCAAGCCGCGATTTTTATTGGTATGCTTTCTCTCTCCTGGACCCTGGTCAGTTAGTTAATCACCGCGGTTAGGCCCAAAACGATGTCGTATTCTTAAGAAGCCCAAAAAAACGCGAGACACATGTATATCTTCTCAGTCGTTGAGTGGGCAACAACACCACCGGCCCAATCATCCACAGTCGTTTTACTCCACCTTGGGTATGGCTTGTGCGGCTTGGCTCCAGCCATTGTCCTCATCCCACGCTCTCTTTCCAACTCTCTGCCGCCGGCCGACTTTTCCCCCCATCTTCCACCGGCTCACTCGTTTCTCCTCAACCGTCCGGCTAGTATCCACCATGAACCGGTCGACTCCGGTCCTCGCTCAGGCCAAACGAGGCTTCTCAGTCAAAGAAGACGAAGTGGCCGCTGGTAAGCCAACTCCAATAATTGCTACCAAAAATATTAATAAAGAAGAAGAAAAAGCTTGTTCTTATGTGTTTGGTTCGTTCCTATTTGATTTTGCGATGGATTGAATATAGCTGCTGATGTTGAATTTGAAACGCCTCTGAAAATCGTGGAATATCCGGACCCTATACTGAGAGCGAAGAACAAGAGAATCGATTCGTTCGACGAAAATTTGAAGATTTTGGTAGACGAAATGTTTGATATAATGTACAAGTGAGTATCATCATCCATGGCTTTTGGCGTTTGCTAATTGCTAAGTGCCCCTAAAAAAAATCGGATTTTGAGAAGTTCTTGCAATTTACAGGAGTTGTTGCTTGGTTTTTACACAGAACCGATGGCATAGGGCTCTCGGCGCCACAAGTAGGGATCAATGTGCAGCTCATGGTGTTCAATCCAGTTGGTGAGCGTGGCGAAGGGGAGGAAATTGTGCTTGTGAATCCAAGGGTTTCCAGATATTCCCAGAAGACGCGACCCTTTAACGAGGGTTGCTTATCCTTCCCGGGGATTTATGCTGATGTTGTGGTGCGTGCTGTTGCTATATGCTGATTTCAAAGTTGTCTGCTTTGTTTGACCCTGCTATTAATGTCTTTCCATGTGTATTAGAGCTTTAAGTTATCCCCAATTGGTTTCTAAATGAGCACGAAAAATGTGCAAGAAATTGAATCTTAATATAAGTCATGTTCACTGAATACAATTTTCATACCGTACAATGAGCTTAAACTGCTTGCTTTGTGTGTGTATATGTAGTGATACATGGTATTGCTCTGGATGTCTCTAACTTTTTGTGCTTGCAGAGACCAGAATCTGTGAAAATAGATGCACGGGACATCAACGGTGCAAGGTTTACCGTCAACTTGTCGGGTCTTCCAGCGCGGGTGTTCCAGCATGAATTTGACCATTTGCAGGTTCGTTATTCAGCTACTATTTAGTAATTTATCAATGGAGTGTCAACCGAAGTACAAAAAAAGAATTTACAGTGGAGATTTGGTTCCCTTTTGCATTAGGGAAAGCAGAACTTGCAGAGTTAGGTGCAAGATTTCATTGGATTTGATGACTTATAGTTTGCATAAGCTGTGCCATTGTGGAGGATGGATCCCAATGCTATGGAGATTAGGATTAGTTACAGACATTCCACTTGTGGGGTACCTAGCTAGAACTTAATAAACTGAGATCGGCTTGTTGTCTTGAATATCACTTTTTGAAGTGTATTTGACTTGAGTAAAGTGTGGAAGGTCACAAGTTTTTGCCAGCTAAATATAGTACCTATATGGTTACATCAATGGAAACCAAAAGTATGAATGATAAAATATAGATGGGACATCTGCATACATGCCCCTGAGTATTGGGTGAACAAAGGAAATTGCGTCGAGGCATCTAGTATTCGGAGAATACAAATCTATGATATGGACGTTCTGGCAATCTATGTCATTGTTTAAAGTTTCATGGCCTAAAGAGGATCTTAGTGAGTAGAGATTTGTGTATGGTTGCTCTTCTTTTCCCTCCTCTTATACGACAACTTCATCTGCAGGGTATTCTCTTCTTTGATAGAATGAGTGAAGGAGTTCTTGAAACCATTTGTGCACAGCTACAGGTTAGTAATCATAAAACTCCAAATGGGCTTTCTTTACCTAAATGTTCAATTAGTATTATATTAATTTGTTTTTTATTGTGTTATCTTATGGTAACAGGCCTTAGAAAAGAAGTACGAGGATAAGACAGGACTTCCAAGCCCGGAAAGGATCCAAACCCGCAAAAGGATGAAGGCTGCTACTGGTTTTGGCAAATCATAATTAGTACAGGCCAATATTGTAATTTATGATTTTGTTTATTAACACAAATTTTACATCTTCTAGCGCCATAGATGATTTTGCTTAATTATAATTAGGCACCATCATGAATCTGTATTCATAATATGAGATTAAATTTTACAGCACCATTGTTCTCAGTTATCATGACCATCGCCATAGATGCTTGCTAACCCTTTGATACCAATCCTTCTTCCCTGATTTAAATCAACTAATAACTGGACCAAGTAAAAACATAATCCTTTATTCCATTGATTAATATCTAATTAAGTCCAATCCATCCAGATCAGTCCAAACTCCAATCCCGCTAATTATATTCGGCTTGCGAACTGTTATCTATCAAATAAAAACAGAACATTGTAGCAGGAAAAGCAACAAAATACATGAAAAAGACATCCGAACTGCAAACGTCGTTGTTCTATGGTGGTATGTACAATTTGAGGTACCGCCACAGACGAAAGGCTTCAGAGACGGGTCCAAACTTTCAGGTATGTACACGTGTTTTTGATTTTTTACTAATCAACTCGCTAGGCTAAGCTAAGCCTGAGCTTAGCAAGAATCACCACTTTCAGACTGGGCTAAGCTCAGCCTGAGCTTAGCAAGAATTACTACTTTCAGACCGAGCTACTGTGCTGCTTGAAGATGGCTTCCCCTTCTTCAAGCAGTCAATTTCAGGGACTGTGCTAGTTTTGAGCTCTCCGTACGCCTCCCAACAGAAAGGGCCATACAATTGCTTGCCTTCATCAACTGATTTCAGCTGTATGGTGTCCAGAGACACACCAGTACACGGTAAGCTGTCACTGCATGCAAAATGTACAGGTTTCGTCGTATAGGTTCCTTGTATGTTTACATAATTTACACCCGAAATTGCCACGGCTGATGTCTCATTTTGGCATTTGCTCTTGTCACAGTAGAATTGGTCAATCATGATTGGGGTTGCAACTTCTGATACTTGAATGTTTGAAAACATGATGTTTTGGACTGACCCTGATCCTCCCTGCAGTAGAAAACCATATATAATTTGGTTCAGCATACATATACGTACGGACAAATATAGAATCTTGATTGCTATCTATTTGTAATTTAAAACTTACAATTATTAGAGAAGGGGCGTATGATGTATGTATTCTAATATGTAACAGTACCTGCCAGGTCTTTATTCTGACGCCAGTGAGTGTATTGTGCATTTTTACATCTCGGACTGTGACGTTGGATACACAAGCTCTAGTGTTATCCTTCCCTAGCCCTCCGATGCTGACGCCATGGCCGGGTCCACAATTCACGTTGTGTACGTATATACTTGAGCATCCAGTTTGTATGGATATACAGTCATCCCCTGCAGATCATATGTTTAAATGTCATTCACTTGGTAAAGAAGTAACTTGTGCTATACACGTTATGTTGCTGGTCAACATGCTTGCTAGTTGGACTCTGATTAAGACCATGTATATATTATGCTTAATCTCCTTTGAGTCGGCTCTCTGTTTTGACCATGTTTATGTTAAAAAGAAGTTGCATTCATTAGAATTCTAGTTCTTTATGCTTAATCTCCTTTGATTCGGCTTTCTGTTTTGGTCCAGCCCTACTCAATGGTCCAATTTTGAAAAATTACCACAAGCAATACTGGTGCCAAAAATGACAACATCCTGAGAGTTTTGGAGGTGGATTCCATCTGTGTTGGGGCTGTCACCAGGGGAGGAAATACTTATATCAGAAACCTGAACATTCGTGCAGGCATCGAACTTGAGGTGAGCCTGAGGGCTGTTTTGAAGTGTTATACCAGTGACACTCACGCCGTCACTTCCATAGAACCTAAGAGCCTGCAGTGCACAACAAAATATAGAGCACCAGTCATAGTAAGTAATTCATTTTGTAAACTGGCCAAGGAGCTGAATGGTGATCAGATTATTACTGTTGGTTTGGTGCTTGGCATTTTTCCACTGTCACTTTCTATGACCTGCGGACGAAAGTTGACATGAAAAGGCACGCGTGCTCAATTAGTTTCACTAGATATAAAGAGTGACGATGAGGTTTTTTTCAGCATAATAAAAACATTGGCCGGCTGCGTTTTGGCTTGACATAGGATGGATGAATAGTTAATTACCGTGTCCTGTGAACTGCTATATGTCTGATCTGCAGGAATATTGTATGTGGGTGAGTCACTCCACCAAACTGAGCCTTGCCCATCAATTACTCCTTTGCCTTTGATTGAAATCCCTTTTAGCTTCGTGAATTCGAGCCATTGTAGAAGACCTGAACCCCAATCTCCTGAGCTTGTTGGAGCTATGATTTTGCCATCTAACTGCATGACATTTGACCAAACGTATATATACATCAGCAAAATTATAGCTAATGATACTGGAATGCTGCTGCTACTCTTAATTTTGTGATAAGAGGCAACATGATGTGGGTTTAAGATTCGAAAACTCACCTGAAATACAATATTTGGTTCACAATTAGGGCCAGAAAAAGAGATTGGTTTGACGAGGAACACGGACCCGGATGGAACATTTATAGTTGATGCCTGCACTTTGCAAGCTGCTGCCCACGCTGTTTCAAAAGCCTGCCATGCAATGCAAGAGAACTAGTCAAATCACAATAGCAATAGCAATAGTAGCAGCTAGTATTTGTAATTGCATTGCAATATATAGCATTTGTTACATAACAAATATGGTGTCATTTCCAAACTCACCTTGGTATCATCTGCTTTTCCATCGCCTTTAGCACCATAGTCCAACACATTAAAGACGTTGGAATTCCCACCGCTGTTTTTTAGCAGTTTTGCTGCAGTTTCCTCTGGTGTGATGTAATTGTCTCCCCTTGACGGTGTCGTAGACACCCTAGGGCCTGCCTGGTGGCGTTGGTGATTGCCGCCATAACCCTTTTGTTCCTTCCTGAATGCAGAGGCAGGGGCAGAGGCGCCCTTGTTTTGCCTCCAGTACTGCTTGCCTCCTTTTCTAGCATCACAAGGTTCTAACAAGCTTGAACACCAAATAGAAAAGGCAATGAAAACAAAGAATGTGAGGCTTCTTAGTTTAAATGTGATCATCATATCTTAATTTGTTTTGAGATCACAGAGGCTTTAACTTGAAGTTTCTGTATATGGCTAATGACAGAGGATGATGTGCAGGGGTGACATTATATATAGGTAGAGAGCTCATTGCACTGTGCACACACATGAGTCCACTGTTTACAAAACGACAACGTTAAACCTTCCAAGGGTTCCATTTTCAACTCTTAATTTTCTGTCCAACTCCACTTTCTTGTATTTTTATTTTTTTTTAATAGTTAATTCAGCCGCAATACTCACCTCACATGCTTTAGTTTTGCCTTAACAACAAAAATACTCAAACAGAAAGAAAACTTGGATGACCGGCCAACTAGAAATTATTCGATAGAGAATATACGCTGATCTAATATTTCATACCAAAAAGCTTATTTCTTCACGTGAGCACAGGACATTTCTAGTTAGTCTTAAACCCAATTTCGTTTTGCAGCTTCAGCTTCTCCCAACTCTCGCTTGTTTCAATCAAACCATATCAAAGTTTGCGTTGCGTTCATCATTTTGCTTCATTCACATGTGTCCAATTTCTCCCCCCTTATTTTGCTCCTGCCATTTTCCTTACCAGTTACGTAGCATACGCATGCAATAGCAAAGGGATATTGTAGCTCAAATGATTAAGAATAGTTATCCTGCACTCAATATTATGTGTTCGATCTCTCCCCCGATATCGCTTATGTCAGGGAAAAAAAACATGACTTTCATTGTCTGGGTGGGGGGGTTTTCTTCTCTACCCAAAAAAGAAAATGGGGGTATGCATCAATATAAAGACTTAAAAGACACTAGTCATTTTAGAATTCAATGAATATGGTGGAAACAAGTATACATCAACATAAGGCTTTGATAGATTATTATGGGCATGCGAATGTACGTATATATTTAATTGGAATCGATAAGCACATGAGCTGATAAATTAACCATTTCCTAAACCCACGATTAACAAATTAAACACACGAGATTCTTCATCCATAATCTCAGTAATGAACAACTTAATAACAAACGTGTTTGTTCATATTTGCTCATCAATTCTTAGTCAATAAACAAATAGTGACTTGAACGAGATTTGCATATCACCACACCACGACTTCCTCTGGATAACGTAAGAAATTCAAAGAAATAAACAAAGAAAACTGGATCTTATCAAACAGCTGGTCAGGATCAGTTGGGAAACCGATTTGGCATGGCACATGTCAAATCAAATTCTAAACGAACTGTCATGCAACATCATGCGTACGCATATCTAGTACATGATCTTATAAATTAGACTTATTCAGCTTCTATGAAAAAAAAAAAAAAAGGTTAAGACTTCAAATCCCAAAATCATGGGCTCCCAACACACTCAGACGTGATGCCAACGTGATGCATTAAAATTTGTTTGGAAGCCAATGGAAGCGGCAGAGTACATGGCCAATTTTTTGATCGTAATCGTAATGATCTTATTTTTCTCTTTCTCCTGATATTTTTTTTTTGTCAAACAAGTGAAATATCATTGATAAAAGTTGAAAGACTCGATTACAATAGTCATAAAGACAACCAATCACTTGAACTCATATTCTTTGACGTAAACAAGAATCCAATATAAATTTCAATAGGATACAAAAGATAATCAAGGCTACAATATATCCCATGTCAACAAGTTAGAAAAGATAATCACAAATATAGTACTCACCCAATCACAACCCTAAGAGCTCGAATCTAGCAGCAAATCAACGTTACATAACTTTATTGTAGCGACTTTTTCACACCAAAAAATACGGCAATATTAAAATAAATATTAATTTGAGTGGCGTATATTTGGGTTGCCTTGTACCTTAAAACACGGGCAACAAAAAATCTTGAAATTTTCGAGTGAAAGTGACGGTTGCAGCATGCTTGCTCTTATAAATCATAGATGACAACAGAAAACCGTTAAATCGGTTACTCCGGATATCATGCCATTGCGTTTGGGATAGGGTAAACCAAGTTTGTTGTTAATGATCATGTACGTATTAGATATTAGATGCAGATTTATAATTAAATTGTCTAATTTGTTCATAATCATTCGATCGCTTTACTAATTACTCCCGTAGTAAAAGACAGAGCTGGATAATTATGGTTCTAAACTCCAAGTCATCACTGGATCAGCAATAAATAAACAATTAGTAAATTAATAACTTTGCTAGTTGGAGACGCAATGTTTGAAATATGGATCACTCTCTCTAGAGATAGCTTACTCGTGCGTGAACAATATCAAAATTTACACCCATCACGCCGTATTGGTAGCATTTTAATTAGACATTAAAATTATTTTATTTATCATCAGGATGAGCCGTTTTTTACGAGACAAATCTGTCACAATTGATTTGCTTGTTTGTTACAAATTCAATGTTTCTGCTGAACAGTGAATTTTTTGAATTTTGTGTATTATTATTATTATTATTATTATTATTATTTAATGAAAAATTATTGGCCCATTCTAGAGGAACAGTGTCATTATCAAGAAATAGTCTAGTTTGTTTGGAAAAACTATTTGGAAGAAGCATAGCATGTCTTTTGACTTTTGGTTACTTCGCTGCTTATTTTTTCTATGTTCTTGATCTCACCTGAAATCTTCATCGCCCAATAGCATTTGATAGAACTCCATGTTTACATCTAGAAACCTACTACCCTTATTATTATAAATTTATAGCCTCAAATTACACTGATTAAAAATCATCACAACCGTCAACAGGGGTCTAGCCTATTGAAAAGTGGTCTAGACTTGCGATTTTAGATTCGCATCTCATGACATCTTAGTAAATGTAATTGTGTATGAGAAATTACCATCCTCTTATAGTTTAAATAGTAACTAGCTAGTATTCAAAGGAAGAAGTTAAAAAAACATCACAACCGCTCCCAAAAAAAAAAACCATGATTGGGCTAATTGGACAGGGATTTGCAGGCTTTCCTAAGCTGTGGCATGTTGGTGAGCCCGTAGACATGGACGACGGACGTGAAAGACAATGAAGACTTAATGAGCTCATTCTTTAATATAAGGCCCATATAAGCCACCTCAGACTTTTCATTTTTAAAAATTCGTTTTAGGAACCTATGAGGTGTGTCACTGTTACCTTACACTCTAAGAGGCCCTATTAGATACAAAACTCAAACATAGGCTCTTTGTGACCCAAAAAAAAACCTTATATGTAACGAGTATTTTATGTGTCATTGTGTTATTGACTGAGGATAGTAAAAAGTGTTATCTCATTACATGAGAGTTTTTCTCTGTATGACACTTGTTGAATGCACCAATTTATAGGTGTGATTATGATACATACGATTAAGTCTTACCACATTTTCTTCTACTTGACACAAACAATGGCACCTTAACTATAAGAACTTAAGCATTGTTCCAATTTCATGTTTAAATGGCAAAATCTTTTGTTTCAAAGAAGAAAAATAAAGATTTATGTGCCAATATACAAAATTTGTTAAAAGTAATTAGTGTAGTTTGTTCACATCATTTTGAGAGTGTCGTATCTAGCTTATTATATGATGAGATTAGGTGATCAATTACTTGTAGTAGGGATGCTCTCGTAGAATGTGGTATAAATATCAGTCGTTGATTGAATGATGAAATATGGCTATATTGCGGTATCAAAATGTGATAAGAATAACATCATGCGTTAATAGATTTGTAGCTTGAAAAGGAATATGTATGAACACTATCAGCTGCACATGTACTTTTATGTTAACATGAATATGTGTTATGAGATTTGTAGCTCTAATCTAAGAGGATCTTCTAAGAGTCTCTTCAAATTCGCCAAAGCATTTGCTATCAAATTTCCTCCACCAACGATATGCGGAAACTACCTAACAATGTTCATGTGTCAACTATATAGACACCCAACCAACGTTTGTAGCGTCAGTCTTGAAACGGTCCAGCTCAGTGCCACGTATGAAATCAGTGTCAAACATGGACACCAACGAACTCTTAACTAGATTTGATAAAACAGGTTGGGTCCCGCTCTGTTTATTCAGAATCAGAAAAACAGAGTATCCAAAGGGGTCTCCCTTAGTCAAACTCGTAAGAAACGTCTCTGAAACTGCCGAGAGTAAAAAGACTTTCTCCCTCTCTCCCTCTTTTCACTTTTTTTTTAGTCATATTTTCTGTTGCTAGAAAATCGTTAGGGTTTCTCTTTCGCTCAACTCCCCAGCCTAGTATTGAAGTTGTTCAGATCGACGACGAGCTCTGCTAGCTAGCAAACGTAGAATGCCAGGCACTTGCAGCTTCACAGGTTTTCTCTTTACTTGTACTGTTGTTGTTGTTGTTGTAGTGTAGTTTTGTGATTTATATTTTCTTTTTTTTTTAATTATAAAAAATTTAGGTTATAAATCATCGTAGCTCCCATAGAAATTGCAAACTCGAACCTGTTGGTTCCTACACAGTACAAGATACATGGCTTCAGCTGGTGCAGCAGCTGCTCCGGCTGCTGAAAATCCTAGTGGCAACACAAAGTTTGCTGATAAGCTCCCAGAGGAAATTAATGAAATGAAGATCAAAGATGAGAAGGTGCTTTGCTTTAGTTGAATTGTTTCTTGTTGCGCAGCATTTAGTTATTTATAGTTATATAACTTTTAAGAACTTCAATTTATATTTCATTTATTTGTTGACCGTTTTATTTATTTTTGTTAGGAAATGGAAACAGCTGTGGTGAATGGCAATGGAACTGAAACTGGCCACATTATTGTAACTACGATCGGGGGTCGAAATGGTCAGCCTAAACAGGTGCATTTTGCTCAGTTTAATAATCACAGTTGTAATTACTTGCTGGTTAAGATGTGAGATGAAGGAATAGATAAATTAAATATGTTATGACATGAATTATTCAGGAAAAGAATTGGATAAGTGCCATGAAGTTTTTATGCTTTTATTGGGGATTAAATTATAGAATCACTAATATGGAAAGCATATGCTAATGTGATATATATACAGACAATATGTGCACATAAATACGAACACCCATTTAGATATTACCTTCAAAACGCTTAGATTAGAAAAAGGCTAA